TATATGGCTTCTATATTATCATTTTGATTTTTATCTAACCATCATCTGAGTAAGAGTCTCAAAGAAATGATCAACAGGTCAATCTTACGATATAAAGAAAGGGCATCAACATGTCAGCTCGACGAAAAAACTCCATATGATATACAAACATATAAAAAGTTCAATTATTACAATAACTGCATTCTTTATTTACTAACTCGTAGATAAATCTTTTCCATTTTTGGTAATGTAAAAATTCACATTTTAAATCCAAAATGCATTTTGGCTAACGTTTTGCATATGTTTGGCTTAATTTAGTATTCTATTATATTTAGTCAATTTTGACTGGTTATAAAATTAAGATTCTAATCAAGTGCTAATTTTGAACATCAAAACACTAAATCGAATTGCAAAAATGTAATAGTTGAACTGTGAGTCACAAAACAATTGCTAGGGAAAAAAAAAAAATTTGATATATCATCAAGTCTTCACACCACTTATTTTACAGCATAGCATACACACCACTCATCAAGTCTTCACACAACTTATCATACATTTATTTTACAACAGTATTTCACTTCACACCATACTTCACATCAATGCTTTACATGATACTTCACTTCATATCTTTATTTATTTCACATCAATACTTTACTTCATTTATCTCTCTTTCTTTATATCTTCTTTTTTTGTTACAAATTTGATATTTTTGCTTTAAGTATATACTTTCAAGACATGTGAAAATATATTAAAAATCTTAGATATCATGTTTGAAAGAACCAAAAGTTTCAAGTAACAGTTTCGATATATCGTAAGTAAAGTTATGTAAAAATTAATCTCTTGAAATTTTATTTTTGAAACGTAAATATAGTGTTTAATAAAATAAATATTTTTACAAAGAAACTAATAGTGAATTTTCCCAAAATATATGTATAAATAGTGATTGTTTATGCTTTATGGGACACCAGATGAAAAAAAAAGTAGACCGATGCGGAAAAAGAGGAGAATGACATGACTTTGTTATACTAGGATTATAAAGCCTCAGAGATCGCCTAGAAATGCAAGAAAATGAAAATAAAATGCTACAATCGCAAAAGTGGAAAATTGGTGGTTTAGTTTAGGGCCCAAAAAATCACATGTAGGATACTTGTAGCTGATCATGCAATGAGGATAGATAGGGGCAGTTAAATCGTGAACTCTTACAGCTTTGAGTGCACACAAATACACATATGAGATCAAGTCGCTTCATTGAGAAAGGTTTCTTGACGTCACACATATGGGATCAAGTCACCACGTCTATACATATTCACACATTCAACAATTACCGATATCAAAACTAGAATGACATATTATAAACCAAGACGTTGGATAAAATGCGTGGGGAATTAATTTGGTCATTTGCATTAAGGAGTTTTCCCTATGAGATTGAGTTTGTTTTTTTTTTGTTTATTCCTGATTTAGTTTTTGCTTTACATCGATTTAGTTTTTTTCTATAATCATTTAGTTTATTTTCTTAATTTTATTGTTGGCTTAAGGCTTATATATCTATATAGTATTCAACTTAATCTAGATGATATTGGATAGATTCACAGTCCATAGACAGAAATACAACACACAATATTTCTATTTTGACTGTTTTTAGTGGCCCCGAGGTAATTTAGAATCCAATATATGTATTTAAAAAAAGTTTTTACAATTAAATTAATTTTGTGAATAAAAATACTACTAATGAAATTGTGATTTGCTTACCTCTTGGGAAAATAGCGAAAATCAACCCAGACTATTTGCTGATTTCATATAGTTTAGATTGAAAATTTGAATTTTTTTTTGTGAGTTTAGGTTGCTGTTTCCCGGGTATCATAGTTTGGGTATAAAAATACCGCCAGCAAATAGTTTGGGTTGATTTTCACTATATTCCCCTTATCTCTTATCTGTTGTTTATTTTATTTTTATTTTTGCTTATACTTTTAGTTTACCAAATTGTTGGAAACTTCAACAACGTTATAAAGTAAATAATTATATGTCATAATCTTATAAGTATTGCATTTAGTTAATAATATATTAATTATATATGATTTAAAATTTAAAAAATAAAAATGAAAGATGATAAATTCATTTATATAGGCTCATTCTTTAAAAGGAAAAAGAAAGAAAGAGGTATATGTATTTAAGTTTACCAAGTAAAAGTATATTAATATTCTCATCAAAAATCAAAATTTATTCTTATATGTTTGTTACTTGCTCATGTATTTATAGAAGATACCATATTACAATGATATATACAATTTTAATCAAAATAAATTAATATTGAATAAGCTTATATTTTTATTTTGTAATTCAATATTATTTCTTATTTTGTTGGTAAATTGTTAAAGGTTTTTTATACATGTCAAATCTAACTCGCCAATAATAGACATAATATTAGCATATTTAAATAGACTATTTTGAAGATTTTACTTTACATAATATTTTTTTTTAGGTTTTTGCTTACGAATAAAAAACAATATTACAACGACCAAAACGGTTTTATCTAATGAAATTAATATCAGATAAGATATACTCGCTCTGTTTCATAATAAGTGATGTTTTAGCCAATTTTTTTTGTTTCATTATAAGTGATGTTTTCAATTTTCTATGCTAAAATTTAATGTATTTAATATTTTTTGACCAATCATATTTTTTTATTGGTTGAATTCATATTAGTTAATGATGTTTTTACAGAAAATAGGTAAGTTATATGTTTTATTCATTAGTTTGTCAAAACCTTAAACATCACTTATAATGAAACAGAGGGAGTATTACTGTATTTTAATTTCTATATTCATTATTTCTTGGTTATATACAGGTTAAATAAAATAATTATTTATTATACATTTTAAAATTTAACTGACCAAGAACACATGTAAAATTGGCATCTTAAATATATATTTTCTTAATTAGTGTTTTTCGGTTGGAGAAAATTTTTTTTTTCTTATGTGTTCACTACAAAAGACACGGTGGTTGACGACGGTTGTTATTGACCTTAACGTCGTTACTAAACCGATGTAAACCAAATAACATTAGTTTTTTTTGGTAATTCCCGAGATCATAGCTCCCAATTTATTCAAATAAAATTAAAAAACAAACTACACACGGACACGTCGTGGACGTCCATAACTAAGACTATCGTCCCCTAAGATTGATGCCACAACCGGCGGAACCAAATCAAAAGAGTGAAAACCAAATTAAAGGTAAAGAAAAAGCTTAGTTTGCCCCTCGATATGAACAATATGGACTATCCAGTCCCTCGATAAAAACCAATTGAAGTGGAGGGTTTCTTCAAACAACAAGGAGTTGGGTCAACTATTCAATCAAATGATATTGAGCATGTTTCCCATCTCTTCTCGACAAAACATGAAAAATATGGACTATCCAGTCCATCGATAAAAAATCATGGCACAAACATACCAGAAAAGACAGCGGATGTGTTTCACTAATTTATCTTCTAGAAAACCAACCACCAACTGTGAATCCACTTCAAACTCTAAACGTGTAATCCTCCGCTCCCAAGCAATATATAGACCGTAATACACACCCCATAACTCGACTAATGGTACCATACAACGACCAAATAGCATCAGTTTGTAAACCGTCGTAATAAGCTGTGATGTTAACTATTTTAACATCATTTTAGAAAACAACTTTTACTTTTTAAGTTTTTGAAAAGAATCATCAAAGAAAAAAGCATAAAAGGAGAAATGGCACAATGAGTTAATTGAATTGCAAAACGTTAAATCCCTTAAATGACACAATAGTTATCAAACGAACAACAGTTAGATGCATCATCTTCATAAAGATGTTTGTGTTCTATAGCTCTATTTTAAAATGTAAACTTTCAACTTCTCTATTATAGTGCTAGTGTGTAGCAATTTATCTTAATATATTTTTTTCATTCTTGGTATATTTGATTATTCAAATTTTACTTTCTTAATTTATAAATTTTCTTAAACATAACAATGATATGTCCTGCTAACACATAACAACTCCACGAAAGCAAGAGCAACCTCTCTCTCTCTCTCTCTCTCTCTCTCTCTCTCTCTCTCTCTCTCTCTCTCTCTCTCTCTCTCTCTCTCTAACCAAATTTTTATGTCTTTTTGTTACTCTCCATGTTATAAGTTTGCCAATGTCACTAACTCTATTTATTAATCCAAACCTAAGATAATCATAATACTTTTTTTTTTGTGCAAACAAGAGCTTTAAATCATTAAGGCCTCAAAAGAGGGGAGTTAATTCAAACGAATGCTAAGGACATACAAAAAGAATAAAGATAGAGGTTCCATGAGTCTTCCAAGAGGATGCTCAATTTGGAGAAGCTTGCAATGTTTGAAAAATATGTTGGGACCAAAGTGGAGTCGACCATGAATACAAGCTTTGCGAATTCCACGACCAACAAATGGTCATAGATGACTCGAGCAAATGACGCATATGAGTTTTTAGTAGAGTGCTCCATGGGAGAGGTACAATTAGGTGTCTCACCGGGCTGAGAAGGTTCGAAAACATTAGTTCCAAATTCTTCACTCTATTAGGCTCATATCTCAAGGCTTTAGGTGAAATCGCAAACCAAAAATCGCAAATGAAAATATAATATTGTAACAGAGCAGGTGAGTCCTCCCTCACATAAAGCCAACGGCCATGAAAGTTGAGTAATTCCATACAAGCAAAAGCAACCTCTCTCTTTAACGAAAAACTACAATTACATATAATTAATACTGTATATAATCATAATACTAATCCCCTTTAAACCACTATTTTAATATCTTATATGATTAGCTCATCTCTAACCTACTATTTTATTTTCACTCTAAAATGCAATTTTGCTCCATCTTCAAATAGAATATCCTAATTGTTTATAAAAAATGTTAAATAGTATATATGTGTTTAACTTTGTTTGAGGTTTTCTCTCTTAAACTTTTCAGTATTAATTATATGATTTTAGTTTTCGTCTCTTATGTTGTTGTAATTTACTTTTTTTATTTACTATGTCACTGTTACATTTTCTATTTATTTATTCATTTGATAACCAACCAGATGCTAAACCAACCAAATTGCAGAAAAAAGCCATAAGAATAGCTCTCAGATCTCAAATTACAAATTTTAATCTTTTTTGTTTTCTTCATCATCCGTTCGTCGCCACGTCATTTATCTACACACCTGAAAAATCTCCAAATATTCACAAAATACAAAAACTAAAAATTCGAGTCAAATCCAATAAAGCCGCCACGTCATCACTAACTCGGTTTAACAGAACCGAGTTAACTCAACCGAGTGAGTTTTCTCTACTGAGTCTCGCGTACATCTTCGCTCTAAGCTCTTTCCCAGATTCCACAAACTCCATCGCCGGAGCTTCTTCTTCGCTCTCCCAAATCTCAAACTCTCTTATTCCCGGCCACGTCGGCGCTTGAATCGGACGCAAAGACGACGAAAAAGGTAACCTAACAACACCAGATCTCATCGGAGAACTCCATGAACAACCTCCGTTCAACTGCATCTTCCTCATCGACGCAATAATTTCACCGGCGCTCGGAGAAAGCGGCGGAGACTCCGACGGTGGAGAAAACGAAGGAGAAACGAGAATCGAAGTCGGAGAAGTAGCTAATTTCGAAGAGAAGAATCCGAGATCTGGATCTGGCAAAACACGTAACTGCTCCGTCGTATGAGCGAAGAAACAGATTCTTCTCCGGCAACTCGTTCCGTCTTTACACGGCTGAGTACGATAACGAGAAGGATGAAGCCAACACTCGAAAACACCGTGAGCGAACTCACACGTATCACCTCTTCTACAACTCCCTTTACGAAACTCAGGACACGCCGTGCCGGAATAATGAACCTTCCTCGGATCTCGCCGCCGTGCTTTCTCTCCGGGATGAGCGTACGGACACTCCGTCCAATCATGAGATCGGCCTCTCGAACATCGCCGGATCTTGAACTCGTACATGCGAAACTCGTCGGTGAGTGATGGTTCGTCGGAATCTTCCGTTAACTCGTTTGACGGAAGGTAACGGTGGAGAGAAGCGAAGGAGTCGAGATACGGTGACGGAGAGTGTGGGTAATCGTTAACGCCGTTAGAGAATGGTGAAGAGATCGTGACCGTTGGATCCCATTGAGGGATATGGATGGTTGGATGTGGCCGGTTGTTATTTTCTCCGATCATCATTTTTGTTTTTCTCTTTGTTGTTGTGGTGAGTGAGTCTAGAAGAGAGAAGAGGTTTGTGTCTGAGTTATAAACTGCTTAGTTTTTAACTATGGTTGGGTTAAATATTAATCACGGTAAAGTTAGAAAATCTTGACCCTATCCACAAGACCGTACTAAACTAATAATAAACACAAATGTAACTACAACACGTGGCTAAAATATCTCTTATATTACTTTTTTTTATTTAATTATTTTCTTACTTCTTAAAATTTATAAAATATTAGAAAAACGCAAATAATTAATGAAATGTATAATGAAGAATAATTTTGAGAAACAAAGATGAAAAACCGTAGAGAAAACATTTCGGTTTCTTATTTTTTAATAATCTAAAATTTTAGAACATCGGTAAATACATTTTTCAGAGTCTTTGATAAATTATTTTTCATAATAAAATTCGAACTCGAAAAGAAAATATAATAATTAACTTATGCCAATTGTGAAAAGAAATAGTTAGTAGTTTCAATAAAAAAAAAATTATTAAAACTATTTACAGATATTTTTAATATCATTACTTTCATGTTTATTGTCGTCTTCCATGAAGCTTATAGACTAGACTACATCGAATCAATCGATTATATGTGAGATAACCTACAGTAAAATTATGAAAAAATGAACTCTATCTACATTATCATACGGTTAAACTATTAATAAACGAAAATGTAGAGATTACAAGACGTGGCCAAATATATTTCTATATTATTTTTTTACTCTTTCATTTTTAAAAAAAAAACTATATATCATTGTTCTATTCATGAAACCATTTGATTTGGGAAAACAACTAGTATTGAAGTCTTTATGGAAGATGATAAATTTGATGGTGAGAATAATCTACATTCTAACACATGGCCGATAAAATCTGTAATTGTTTTTTTTTTTAATACATAGACATTAACATATGATTTTATTTAGTAATCACTAATCACTATATTTATTAAGTCTTATAGGCCATGATATTTTAATCTAAAAGTTTCATGGAGGCAATATACATCAAAAACAGAAGAAATTAATTTTGCCGAATAGTTTTTCTTTCTTTTAGGTCAAATCAAAGTTGTACATATTTTGTTACTAATCTCAATTTCTCAAGAATTGAGCTACTCATCCTCATTAAAAATTTTGTAACAATGAGAGATGTTAAAAAATATCTAAATTATGCAAACCGAACTACAACACAAAACATGATTAAATACAAAATATAATTTAACCATAGAGGTTATCTCTGCAAAAAAAGAATATAGTTTTATATAAAACTGTCATTTCATCCTCCATAATTTGATCATATTTTTGTATTTTGTGATTCTTTACCATATTTCCTATATCATAAAGCTCTTAATAATATTATTTGCATCGTTTTATCTACATATTGTATAACTAAATTTCTAAAATGTATAATTGCATTTCGGTTGTACTTAACCGTATTTAATATGCTTGACATATATATATATATATATATATATATATATAAACTTAATAGTATATGTTTTCAGAGGTTTCAATCACATATTCGCATCTACATTAGTATGAATGAAGTACACCTATGTATGTATATTACGTATAATATATATATATATATATATATATATATATATATATGTGTGTGTGTGTTTAATATAAACACATATCAAATGCTAGTGATTTCAAATGCAAAAGAAAACAAAACTAAGTAGTACATATATAGTTAGTTAATTAAGTGAGTCATGTTTTATTTCATCATCATCCTTTGCCATTTCTGTACATGAGAAATGGAGAATACTTTGGTCAGTCTTTTACACCACACTTTAGAGTTTAGATCATTTTTGAAGTGTATCGTTAAGCTAAAAATTGTTTTGATCAAAAATCCTAAGAATTACATATATAAAGCAAATTATTTTATTTGCGATTATACGAATTAAGTCCACTAAATAAATATTAAGCGATGTGAAACATAAGACAAGAACGTTGTTTCTCCGCATCTTGGTCCAAAGACATCACAAGTTACATGACTTTCTGATTGCCCGTATCATTTGTCACGTGACTTTCACAAGGTTCTCATAATTTTTCTAGACAAAGATGCAATGTATCTAGCTAGTTTCTTTTAGGAGAAAAATAAAAAAAATGAATTTTGATATGTCCAAACGAAAAAATTAAGTATTGGCTTTTAAGCTGAATATATATATATATATATATATATATATATATATATATATATTAAATGGATATATTAACAAAGTCGGTAAAAGAATAATATTCAATTTATATTTCTTGAATCTTACGATCTTGTATTTATACAAACTCAAAAAGCTAAATCCTAATACGTTTAAAGTTTATACATAATAGTTATCTACAATATTAGAAATTATTCTTATATTCCCCTTAAATTGAAACATGTAAGAGCACCCTTATTACAAGTATCTTAAATATAAATATTATGATTAATTTAGTATTATAATTGAAAAAAGTATCTTTTGTATCTTATATAAAATATATCTTATATAAGATACAATTAACCTTATTTTGCATCTAATTAAAATCAAAAATTAATCAAAAAATTTCTTAAGATATTCTTATTAAGGATGGCCTAAGTTTTGAATGCCCAACGTTACTAGAAATGCGTCAAATTCTTTGCGTTTCAAAATCTTTGTAAGAATATCCTCAAATTGAATCATGGTATAGTTTAACAACACCATTGATGATTTTATCGCGGTTCGCGGAGAACAATAACAATCACATTTTATATGTTTAGTTTGTTCATGAAAAAACCGGATTAAAACTATCTACAATATTAGAAAAATATCCTCAATATATATATGCATGCTTATGATATAGAAAAACTTTAATTAACTCAATAATTGACCGATCAGTTTGGTGTGCGCTAGTCTTTAGTATTGGTAAAATGATGTGCTCCAACAGTTTTCTTTCACTCCATGGTTTTGCTTGTTGGAATAATTAAGGAAGTTGAACTTATTATTTTTTTTTATTTTTTTATTGTATGCTGGTCACTATCTAGGTAAACGATTGGTTAAGTTGTTGATATAGAGATGTTTTTTTCTTTTTCTTTTTTTTTTTGTCAAATTGAAATAGAGATGTTATACAATGGTTTTGGTTAAGACTTGGATTAGTAACACGTATGTTGACATAGTAGCATTTTCTAATACGTAAGAAGAAAATTGAAGTAAATTTATTTTGCAATTTTATATTCTGAAAATTTTGGTTTTGCAAACTTTTATTTTATAACTTATATTATTATATGATTATGTAATGTTACTAATCAGGTTAGCTTTGTAATCAGAACGATTCTTTTTTTTGTCATCAAGAAAACCGAGAGAGAGGGTTCAATCGAGCCAACTCAAAAGACAATTGTTTACAAACTTAATAATATGCGGACTTGAACGAGCTCTACGAGATAAGGAGTCCACTTTCACATTCTGGTATTTAGGAATGAGAGAGAGAAAAAGATGAAAATTCCTTCATGTCCATCTTAATATCTTTCAGGTAGACAGAAAAAACCGACTACTTTTGAAAAGGAGACACCATTTTTACCAAATCCAAACAGTCAGTAAAAAAAACAATATATATATATATATATATATATATATATATATATATCCTAAAATAATCAGAACTATTCTTTTGTGCCAAAAAAACAATATATCCTAAAATCCAAATTAGACAAGAGACAATGACTTTACTCGAAAGGCAATAAGCAATTTGGACAAAGTTTGGATATTATAATATGTTTGGTCCACTTCTTCGAGATCCACTTGATTGTTACTTCTTCCCATTTGTTTTTTTCTTTAATTGTTTGAGCAAAGGTTATCCATTAAGATGAACTTATCTAAATCCCACGTGGAATACTCACTAATCACTGCCAAACATTCACAAAATTATCACTAATCAAGTAATCAGACCATATTAAACAAATCACAACTTGATTATATAATTCAAAAAGAAACAATTTGACCACAATCAGATAAGGGTTCTCTTAAATCTCACCTAACTTTAAATAAAAGATCATTTTTGGTTCGTGGCTATTAAAAATTATATTATTATAAGCTCCGAAGAATTCAACTTTTGCTTTATTTAATTACAAAGGTCTGATCATGGATAAACAACGATTATCACAAGTTATCATAATGACTAAAAGAAGAAGTATGATCGTTATCAGTTCTCATGTTCTTTTATGCATAAACTATCGATAAAACTATAATAGTCACGAGATGATTGATCATGCACGATTGATATATCTTTTAATGATTCGAGAAATTTAAGACTGCGTATTATATATATATGGTCGTCCAACCCAAAAAGTTAATTAGCAATTGAAGAAGGTTTTTTTTTTTTTTTTGGATCTTACGAAGATCAACTCAAATGAGCCAATATGTCGGAAAACTGTAGAAGTTTAAAGGATTTAAAATGAACATATATTCTGATTTATCAAAGCAAAATTTTAGAACAGCAATTATAAAATAAAACCAAATTGTTTTACCTTACATCAAGTGAAACTGCTGTTAATGACAACAATATAATAATTTATTTTGTATTCACTAAATAACTTATATTATATTTTTCAATATATATACACTACAAAAAGCGGGGATTTAACTTCGGTTTTTATCAAGCCTAACGTTGGTTTTAAACTGACTTAAGTATTACTATGTAGTTTGTATAAGACTAAATAAGTCTCTATCTTATTATATAAAGTTAGGTTTTTAAAATTAGTCATTACTAAGATTGTGATCCGTGTTAATTGAATTAATAAGATGTCGACACGTGTCAGATAATTAGTGATAAAAATTATATTAATTAGTTTTAAAAAGAATATTTTCAAAATATAAAGAAGAAAATTAAAATTCAGGAAATTTAACAATTACTTAGTAGTAATCATAAAGGAAAAATAATAGTAATTATAAAATAAAATTATTAATAAAAATTATAAAAAATACGTCTAAGGTACATTAAGTTAGTCAACTATAAATTAATCATAGAAAATATTTGCATTATCGTGAATATTATGTTATATTTAAACATTTTCATTTCG